ACACGGAGCTGGGGGGGGCAGAGCCGGGAGCAGGTCCCTCTGCCATGGTGGGGGGGGCGGGGCAGTGGGTGACAGGACATGGGAGTGTTGCAGGTCCAGACCCCTCTGAGGAAATCGTCTCCTCCTGTCCCTGTCCCCATCTCCAGGGCTGAGCTGGCCACGGGCTGTTCCTGCCTACCCATGGTCTCCCCGTGCCCGTGGGGTCCCCCTCCCATGGCTGTGCCCCCCGTGTGTCCGTGTTACTGTCCCCACCCGTGTCCACGGTCCCCACATGCCTGCCCGTGCCACCCGTATGTCCCTGAGGTGTCCCCCGCCATGGCCACGATGTCCCCACATGGTGGCCGTGGTGTTCCCCCCCACGGTGATGAGCCACCTGGCCCGGCCGCGTTGTCCCCACAGTGTGTGGCCACCACTGGCCTCCCATGGCCGCTGTCTCCACACGTGGCCCTGTCTCCTTCCTCATGGCCGTGCTGTTCCCACCACCCGTGGTCACTGTCCCCAGACACCCTCCCTGAAGTGTCCCCTCCCAGTCATGTCCGTGGTCCCGTGTGACTATCATACCCTCCTCCCGCCATGGCTGTCGTGTCCCCCTGGTGTCCCCACGCATGGCCCTGGTGTCCCCCGCACTCAAGGTCCCCAGGTCATCTTGTCCCCTCACTGTGGTGTGTCCCCCCCGCAGAGCCAGAGTCCCCTGCCCGTGTCAGAGTCCGGGGGTGCCCATCATGCTCCCGCCCTCCGGCCCCACGGTCCCCACACGTGTAACCGTGACCGCCCCCCACGGTCCCTACTCCCCCCGAGGCCGCCACTCCCGCCCAGGGCAAAGTACCTTGCCCCCCGGGGACTCTGAGGACCCCGACTTCTGACCCCCACAACTTCTGACCCCCCTCTCGGCCTCTGTTCCCCACCAGCCTTGTGCCTGTGTGCCCCCCCTGCACACGACCCCCAGGCTGGGTGTTAGTGCCCTGGGAGAAGAAGTGTGTCCCCCCACCGGTGGTGCCCCCCAGGGGGGGCGCTTAGTCTGTTTCGGGGGGGACAGTCTGGGTGGGGGAAACTTGCTGTGCCCCCCATGGTGGGGGACACCCCCTGCCCTGAGGACGGGCACTTTGTGACATGGATGATCTGGGGGAAAGGGAGGGCAGGGCTGGGATTTAGGGCATTCGGGGAGGCGTTGTGGTTTGGGAGGGTTCTTGGGGGGTCTCGGCCGGGTCTGTGTGGGGGTCTGGGAAGGGTCTGTGAGGGGTCTGAGGATGGGTCTGGGGGAGGTCTCGGGGGGGCTCGGCAGGGGCTC